TTTTTTGACTTTTTTTTGACTTTTTCCACTTTTGACTTTTTTTTGACTTTTTTGACTTTTTTTTGACTTTTTGTTGCCTCCAGTAATCCGCCAAGGCTAGGATCCGCACATTTGACTTTTTTTGACTTTTTTTTGACTTTTCCAATTGACTTTTTTTTGACTTTTTTTTTCGGCCCAGCCCCGCATGCCCCAGCCCGCCTGTAGCCTGCCTGAGCTCGACCTCAACCTGACCCCTCCGCCAGGAGCCAGCCGCAGCCAGCCCAACGCCTGGCCCTGGCAGCAACCTGCCCCAAAATTTGAGCAGCAGCTGGCTTGAGGCTGAAGAGACCCTGGGACAGTGGCTGGGGCTGGGCAGGGATCCTGCGACTCTGGGGTAGGGGGTTGGGGCTGGCTTGGGGCTGGAAAAGGTGAAAGTTGAACAACCAAAAAGGTTCTAGAATCTTTAATAGACTGAAAGCCATAAGCCATAAGCAAAAAGGCTGCAATTTGCCTTGTTACAAGCTTTTCCTTGACTTGTTTACCTATGCAAAGTTTTTGTTTGACTTGTTTTTTTGACTTTATGTTGACTGTTGATTTTTTTGACTTTTTTTGACTTTTTTGGACTTTTTTTGACTTTTCAATTTGACTTTTTTTTGACTTTGACTTTTGGGATTGACTTTTTCTTGACTTTTTTCAAAATTTTGAAAACAGGTTCTTTCCAATGAAAGTTTTTTATAAGCATACCAACCAGCGCCGCAGCAGCAGCAGAGCACCACCCAGCAGCAGCAGCAGCAGCAGACCACCCAGCGCCGCAGCAGCAGCAGCAGCAGACCACCCAGCGCCAGCAGCAGCAGCAGCAGCAGCAGATCACCCAGCGCCAGCACCAGCAGCGGCAGCCCACCCAGCGCAGCAGCAGCAGCAGCAGCAGACCCCCCAGCAGCAGCAGCACAAGACTCAAATGACACCGCCTGACTCCACGCCGTAACTAGTCGCGTACGCGGGGTAGGGCTATGATGCAAGAAATGCCGCCTGCACATAGCACCCAAAAAGGTATTACTGTCCAATGTAGCTCCTGCTGCTGCTGGGTGGTCTGCCTTGGCTGCGTCTCCTGCTGCTGCTGCGGCCGCTGCTGCTGTTGTGTTTGCTGCTGCTGCTGCTGCTGCTGCTGCCGCTGCTGCGCTGGGCGCTGCTGCGCTGGGTGCTCTGCTAGCGCCGGGTCGTCTGCTGCTGCTGCTGCTGGCGCTGGGTGGTCTGCTGCTGCTGCTCTGGGTCTGCTGCTTCTGCTGCTGCTCCTTTGTGGTTTGCTGCAGCTGCTTGGTGGTAGACTGCAGATGCTTGGTGTGCTGCAGCTGCTTGGTGGTCCCGCTCACCGCGCGCAGGGGGGAGTCGAACCGCGGGGGGGGGGGGGTCCATAAGATTGATTTAATCAATTATTTGAGGTTTCTGGGGCGCGTCCACCCCGTCACTTAACTTGCTAAAGCAAGAGCAACTCCAGCTAGCTAAGGCTAGCTTTCGTGAATAGTGTTGTCAACTTTAGGCCAGCAGGAGGCGGACGAAGGGAAATGGAGTGTGGGGGCTCAAACGTCGCCCTTTTGGCCTGCACTGTAAAGTTGGAAGGGCTTTCAATTTCTTGAGAAAGCTGGCGAACTCACTTTCAGCAGCTGTCTTGAGGCATTTGGTTCCACGCACTGTTCGCAAGAACCGATGCTCGTTGCGCCGCTCTCAAAAACACGAAACTGGAGCCGGTGATGCTTCCCACACTAAATCCACCTGGCAGTTAAACCCACGAGAGGGTCCCATCCCCGCCTCCCGAGGAAGAATCGCCTCTTACACACATATGTACCAGGCATTTGTCCAGATCTACGATCTAGTCCAACCCTATTGCTAACGTAACTTGCCGCAAGGAGAACTCAAGTAGCTCATGCCTAGGCAAAACAAAGCGGATAACGAAAAAGTACGACACAAAATCAATGAGACCTGGAATTGCCAACGCCCACTTAGGTCGCACGAACTCTAAATATATATATATATGTATAGGCACTATACATACACTGAACACGCTGAGTCATATGGTGCCTTTACACCGCAGGAAAATCCTCGACAGGTCGTTGACAACTATTGTTTTGACACAGCAGTATTTCCTCGATGAATCTTTACTGAGCTGTGCTCAAAACGTGTGGCATCTGCGTATGTCGTAAGACTTTCCTTACGCAGCAGCTTACGCCTGGCTTACGCCATCACAATAGCAGCTTACGCACACACTTTGCACACAAAGGGGCTTACGCAACACTTACGCGAACACAATCTTGCACCCGGCCACAGCGCCAGCTTACGCGCCATCTGTTTTCCAAGCAAAGTTACGTCCGCGGCCGTAGGGCAGTGAGCAGCCAGGATTTCGTAGATGGTTTGGACAATGCGTTGCCTTTGGCGCCATTGCAAGTCAGAAAAAGCCTGCTCTTTTTTTGAGCATCGTGGCTACCGTCTACAAAAGAGAGGGGGCTTACGCGCAGCTTACGCGCAGCTTACGCGAAGCTTACGCGCGCCTTACGCGGATTACCGACACCAAAACCGATAACTGCATGGTGACATGGTGTGCCTGGTGACTGCATGGTGACAACTGCTGGTAGACTTTATGGCTATGGGAGTTGTTTGTATGGCGATAGGAGTAATGTTTGCATGTGTCGACCCATAAAATCTCTGTCCTGATGCCCATGTCCTGTATGAATCAAAATCCTTCAGCTAGTGTGGCAACATGACTGCAGGAACCCCAAGAACCCTTCTTTCTGTGGAGCCAATCACCTTCGACGATACCAATTGCCAAGAAAAAGATCTAATGCAAGGCTTCCTCAACAAAGGTTTCCATAGAATTTCCAAACATTTCAAGAATACATGTGACATGTATGTTAAATTTCGACTTGCTTACGCGGCTTGTGCAAGTTTCATCTCACAAAAACGCTTGCGCAACCTTACGCACATCAGAGTTTTGCTTGGGCGAAGGATTCATATGATAAGCCCACTACTAAACATGAACAGGGTGGTTCTTAGCGCGGCTCAACTAGTAGCTAGTACTCGTGCAAAGCGGGAGGTTCTGCGCATGTGGGTCCTTGGTCACCGGTTGAGCGGCTGACCTCGCACCCTTTCGTTTCCAGGCGCTTTGCTCGCTGATAGGGGGTTGGGTGGCTGGCGTCTTCCGTTTTGCTCGCCCAACCGGCCATCCAGGTGACCAGCGGAAATCCCAATCCCTTAAGAGCAAGCAACACGCAGGGAAACCAAATGCATGAGGCCAGCAGCCCAAACCGCAAACCAGCGTTGCCAGAAGAACTTAAGAGCAAGCAGAACACAGAGTCTGCTTGCCCATAGGGGCTGGGAGGTTCTGGTGCCATTGCGGAACGCGACGTGGCGCTGGTGAGGAGGAGGATGATGCATTGTGAACGAGGCTTGGTGTCAGCATCTGGTCTGTGGCCCGCAGTTCGGCAAAATCACGTCCACGAGGTGTCCTTATCGTCGGCAACTGGAAAACTGCGGGTTTACCCGCTGGTGAGCGGGATAATTTGCGGCGTTAACGAGGCTTGTCCGCGATGTCACTGCATGCCATGTGATTTGGGGCAACCTCTGTGGCAAACGCGTGCACGTGGCTCCGCAACATTACCGGAGATATTAATTTTGCGAGCAAAGTGTGGACTCGGGACTGGCAACCTTGTGGTACAAATCTAGTTGGAGTAGCTTCTGGGGGCTTTTGGCTCAGACTTGGCAACTTTGTAATACAAATGCAATGCGCAAATAGCTTCTGGAGCGCTGGAATCATGGCAACTTGTAGTAGACATGGAGAGCTCTGGGCTCAGAACTTGCAACTTTGTACATTGTAGAGCGGGCAACTTCCATCAAGTCTGTAGCACGTACGCGGCGCATTGAAATTACGTCGGCGAAGTCGCTGCGCCATGCGGTTGCGCAAGGCTCGGTGGAAAGGACGTTTGCGTGGCTTCGTGCCATTGGGAGACGGGAAACATGCCCGCGTAAACACAGCGCGATTTGTGGTGAAGCTTGGCATCACATTGCTATACCCCGTTGAATAGCACTAGAGTTGCACTCAGGAATTTCTTCAATGAAATCCTTTCGGGCTAAGATCATGTTCCCTATTTTTGAAGTTTGCTACTTTTTTGCAAAATCCTGGACCAGCGTCTTCTAAAGTCCTCGGGCCTGAGGTTGATGCACCCCTTCACTACATGAGGAGAACTGATAATTAAATCCTGGTAGTGACCCTACAACCCCATCTCCAACCAGAAGAGCGTCCTTAGATGTTTTCCCTTGCAGCCTGTCAGGATTCTTCCAAAAATGCACTGTGACACTTACCCTGCAACTGTCCTTTCTTACCTTCGCATGTTCAAGCGATCTATATGAATTTATTCAGATACTCAATCACTGTGTGTCTCTGTATGTGGTGTGCCAAGAACATGTCTCCCCCTCCCCAACTCCATGACAACGTACATGTTCTGGATCAACAGCAGCAAACAGAAACGAATGAATCCAAGTTCAATCGCTTAATCTTCAGCTGGGTCAGATTCATCAGGCCAGTGCCCAATCCTTGTGTGCCTTCAGCACCTACGCTGTTGTCACCCTAGTTCACCAGCAAGTTTGTCAGCTGGGCAACTAAAATCTGTGCTGTGACCCTCAGTAACCAATGACTTGAATTTGACCATGCATTATAGAATCCTGCGCCTAACACATCATCTGCTCCCCAAGCTCCGCAGTATCATGACCCAACTGACTTTCTGAATTCCTGGACCAACGATGACTCTTGATTTCCTGGCGCATGTTTGCTCCATTTCTTTGTGTGGCCAAGGTACTTAAAATATTTCGTGGTGGCTGGGGTCTAGCGAAAAATCCGCCGCATTGAACAGTGCTGAGGGGCGGCTTTGTCACGAAGCGACCTGAATACCCATCATCTCTGGCGCGCGGTGTCGGAGGGTGCGGCGAATTTATGTCTGCCATGTCGCTGCGCCACGCGGTTTGGCGCGCACAGCTCGTGCGGTGGGGGAGCGAAAAGCACGCGCGAGCAGACGCGGCATGCCGCTGGTGCGGATGGTTGGTGGGCGCCGGTGAAGGATTCTCCGTAACAAACAGCTACCAACTTCATCTTCCTTGTCATCACTTTGTGTCCTTTGTCATCGGCACCCTCATGTCATCGTCATCATCGTCATCATCATCATCATCTGTTAGGACCACCGTGTCTGTAGATATCTAGACTTTAGCACTGATTGTCATGTTAAAACTTCCCTTATATCTATCGTAGTCCTATGGTGGTTTTGGGCCACAGTCGTCTAGCTGGCCAATTTATTTAGCCAAAAAGTTGATATTCAAAAAGCAACACACGCATTTTAGGATTAGAGGGCCGACTGTCTATCATTACACATGATGACTGGGTTGAATAAAGGCCTGCGTTCACTGTTACTAAGTCTCCCTCCGACAGCTTGAGACTCCGCAGCCACCTGCAGCAGCCACGCCAGCGCTGAGTGAGCCTCCCGTGAACCATTGTGTGGGAGAGGTCGATGACTTTAACATACTTCCAAAGCAAGATGCCATCCATGCTTCCAGTTACTTGCGTGTTTGCCAAGTAAAGCTCGTTCAAGGCCTTTGCGTGTTGGAAAACCCAAATGTTTCCCACGACTTTCGTGGAGGAGAGATCGAGCACCATCAAAGTATTGTGAATTGTGCCGGACACCAGAACACCAATTTCGCCAGACACCCCAGTGGACGCAAGCTTCAAGGTGGTTATGCCACTCTTGCTTGAGAACACTTCGGCGTCACCAGTGACATTAGTGAAGGACAGGTCCAAAGACTTCAAATACAAATGCTCTCGAAAGACTTGCACCTCACCCATGATCTGAGTTGAGTGGCACTGAAGGCGGGAAAGGAGTTTGGTGTGCTTGAAGACCTCAATATCACCCCAAACCTGCGTCTTGGCGAGATTTAATGTCTCGAGCTGTGGCAATCCTCCCAAAAATGAGATATTTCCATCAATGCCTGTATCCTCCATTTCCACGCACCATAAACCAGCGAAGTCAATAGACTTGAAGACACAAATGTCTCCAACAATGAAGGTGTCACCAAGCATTACATACTTCAAGCTCTTTGTGAAAGTGAAAACTTGAATGTCACCCTTGACATTGGTGGATTTAAGAGCGAGGAACTGCAGGTGTTCAGTATGTTGAAACACACTGATATCTCCATCCACCCATGTCAACATCAAATCCAGGTCTTCCAACGCCGGTGTGGAGTTGAAGGCTCGGATGTCTCCAAAAGCTTCGGTCAAGCTCAAGTCCAGCTGGTGGAGTTCCTTTGTCTTCTCGAAGGCGCGAATGTTGCCAAATACTTGGGTGGCTGCGAGGTGAAGCACCTTCAACTTGCAAGTGGCCTCAAAGGCCTGAATGTCACCAGAAACATGTGTACTTTGCAGATTCAGCTCCTCCAACTTCCTTGAGGCTTGGAAGACCTGAATGTTGCCAAAGACTCGTGTGTGTTGAAGCCCCACAACCTCCAAATTCGACAAGGCCTCAAACACCTTGATGTCCCCCGTGACTTGGGTGTCTGCAAGAATCAAATGTGTCAGACTTGTGCAGGAGGCGAAGACCTTGATGTCTCCCGACAGGAACGGCGCGGTAATGTTCACCACCCGAAGCTGTTGACAAAGATCCGACGGTATCTCATGTGGCAAATGCCCAACTTCAACAGTATCCTGCCAGGTTTCTGCAGCACAGAAGTTACACTGTGTCAATATGCAAAGTAGATTAGCCGATTAGCCCGCCTCGTTAAGATTCACTTCCACCACGCATCCATTTTCACACTTGATGCCATCATGCCATTCGCAATAATCTCCTCCAAAAACATGACTTTAGTTCACCCTCTCCCACAGCCATTTTGGTTCGACCCTATATTTCCGATTTTGCACTGAGATCCCTCCGCGCCCTTGCACTGGTCACGATCGCCTCTCCAGGTCGTGTTCCTCATCCCTCGGCGCATACCATCCCTATCACTTGGCGGGGAGTACGAGAACCATCCAACACTGTGAACTCGGTACCCAATCTCCTCACCATTCGTTAGCTCGACATCAGCCTCTTGGTTCACCAACCCTTGAACTATATCTTCGTCACCCTGACGGCTGCCTCAGTCAAGCACAAGGGGCGCTATCCACCCCTATCATCCTGACACATTGATGCATGTATTGCCTTGTGGTATGCCAGCACCCGCACCAGCACCCCCCCAAGAAAATGCCGATCCAGCGCCAGCACCAGCACCTGCACCAGTACGCCGATCCAGCACCATCACGAGCACGGGCAAAACCAAACACGGACCCATGGCCACACCATCGAGAAGTAAGAACCCCTATAGCTTGCAGCTATCTGGGGAAAAGCACAATCCCAGCTCTCAATACAAGAAATGTTCATCTGTATTCACCACGTAAACACGCCAACCACATGCAACAAGCTCCTTCTTCATCGAAATCAAGACCAAGTCCTTCCAGCATGGTCTCCATGGCAGCGTGGTCGCGACGACCTGAGGTTGGGCCCCCCTGGCCTACAGATGTGGCCACCTCTAACACCAATGTTGTGCAGACTTCACAAAACCACAAAGAAACGAGCAAAAAAATTGAACAGCAAGTGACGAAAATTTGCAGTTGGTGCGCTTCCCTGTGCGCGTGTAAGCCGGAGAGCAGTCAGAGGAAAAAAGGTAGCCCTGAATCACTTTGTTTCAGTATGCGCTGTCGGGGATGTGGCGGGCAGCAGGTGGTTCGCATCGCTGTTGGGCAGGGGAGTCCGAGAATTCAAGACGCAGTGTCAGCGCTGCAGAAGATTGGCAGAGAGGGTAGGGGTGTCAGTTCCATGCTGGCATGCAATTGGCGGCATCGAGAAATGGAGATGTCTGGCAAAATTCCCCAGAAAGATAGCCCAAAGAGGAAATCTCCAAAAGTGGCAGCTTCTAGAACAAAGTAGCAGCCGGTGTAACTTGACTTGGCGAGTGTCGCATCAACAAGTGTGTCACTTCGAGATGCTCGATTCGCAAGCAACCGCAAAAAGAACACACTCCTCCTCCTTCGCCCAAAAAAAAAACGGTCAATTCCAATGTCATCGTTTTCATATTCTAGATCTTCTTCGCCACGCTGCAGCCTCTTTCCTTGAGGCTTAGGCCCTTATGGGCTGGAAAGTGGCTTAAGCGCTTACACGCTGGAATGAGGCTTAGACGCTGGTTTGATGCTCCCAAGTCGGCTTGTAGATTGCTTGTAGGGTGGTTAGAGGATCACAGACTTCCTTGATCTATCCCAACCCTCTGGCTACTGCAATCTGTTGAACCAAGTGCACACCGAACCTCACACCACAGCGTAGCATGAAAACCATCATGAAAACATCATTCGCAAGGGCAGCGCATCAGCCGGTTTCCGACAACAGCAACAAGAGACGTGCGTGCGCTTTCTGAGGCTATTCATGAGTGGAGAGATCAGACTCACTTTGTGCCTGATTCGGAATCGAAGTCGTATGTCGTCACATTTCTTCTACAGGTGCCTACCCCACTGAGCGCGCATATCAAGACTCACTAAAGTAAACTGAACTTCGTTTGGAAGAGTAGCAAGCAGCAAAGAGCCGGCAAATTCAGACCTACCAAACACAAGCTCATTGTCGAGAACGACGATAGGTGGAGCAAAAAGACACAAAGCCTAGCATGTGCACTGCTACCTTGCTGGTCAGTACTGCCCCTCCATAGATGGCCTGACCCTGGGGCACCTTGTTCTGAGCATCCGTCTCCATTGGTCACACTGACTGAATCCATGAGATTGACGACCCCTTATACAAAATTAGAATTGCCTCGCGTTTCTGACCAAGTTGTGTGTGTGACCAAGTCGGCTACTCCAGACTAAACATCCCTTGGATGTACACCCCTTGTTCTGTGTGCCTACCTTGAACCGCTCACCTGCGTTGCACCCTCACTCAAAACAGCAAATCAGTCACTTTCTCACCACAGCGTTCAGCGAGTCAAAACTCTTCACAATGCCATCAGGTGACAATAATGGAGCACATTATGCAGATCCTCTTGGTCCCGTGGACCTCCTCCTGCATTGGAAAAAAACAAATGATCGCATGTCTTGTGTACTGTACACAAATCCGCTTTCAACTTTCCACCACTTCTTTTGTTTGAATAAAAACATCGACAATTCAGAAGCCTGCAGAACAAATGCCTTTTGCAAAGGTGCCTCTTTAGTAACAATCAACCAGTTTGTAGTTAGCTCATTTCGACCCAGCTACATTCACACCTTGACAGGTTTGACAGGCAGTCCTACCACAACGGAGTGGTCATCTGGTGCATGGCCTTGAAACCAAAAGTCGGCCGATTGGCCCGATCAAACGACCAAACAAAGCACGCAGTAGGGCGCTAGGGAGGAAACTGCATGGTGAATGTCATCACCTATGTGAGTTGGAAGGGTTTCATTTTCACACCGGCTGCTCCAATGGCCTTTGCATGCAGTACGCAACCAACCCCCTTCCTGCGGGCATTGACCGCCTCCATCCCCCTCCTCACCACTATTTTATTGGCAGCACTAATGCTCTAGAGTCTAGAGAGACATGACTTTTTTGCTAAGAGCAATCCCAAAACACGGTGTTTACAGCGCTTGCTTGCACAAAGCTATCCAAAACCTAGGTTTGAACCACTATTTTCAACAGAGTGACACAGCTTCAGCTGAAATCTAGCCAAACTAAACCAATATGTTGCTGCATTCATAGGGGATAGGCGGGTTTTGAAAAACCAAGAAACAAAATACCACGAAAAGGAACAACACCCACCAGAAAAAAAGGCGAGCATACAAACCAAAAAACAATGATTGGAATACAGGTCCTGAAGAGAATTCCCGCCCTTGGTTGAGCCTCCCCTGCTGCTGCCCCTTCGATGACGGGCTCGCCCGACCTACAGCAGTTGAAAGTCAACAAAGACCTCAAGAAGTCAACAAACGTTAGTTCGCAAATTATCCCCGCCTGCGGCCCATCTGCACTCCAAGTTCCCGATCCTTTCGTTGCAGTAATTGCTCGGCAAAGCATGCACATGTTCAACAAAAAACTCAACATCGGTTTCTGGTTCCTTCATGGTCCAAGGGGAAAGCACGCGCAAGCACCTGCAGAAGCACCCACACCAGCACCTGCACCAGCACACCCCCAGGAAACACGGAACGCCGATCCAGCACCAGCACCAGCACGGGCACAAAAGAACATCAATCCAGAGCCAGCACCTGCACCAGCACCAGCACAGACAAAACGACGCGCCGATCAAGCACCAGCACCAGCACGAGCAAAAAAAATGCCGATCCAGAGCCACACCATTGAGAATTTGGAGCCGCAATAGCTTGGAACCATTCGGGAAAGAATAGGAGCACCCCCCACAATTGATGGAATACCTGCCAACCTTCTTTCGTGACCTGCGTTGGAGAGGGGGCGTGTTGGCTGGAGGTGAAAAATGGAAAATGCAAACCCCTTTTTTGTACGGGATGAACTAATTTCCAATGGGCGGCATCCACTCATCTTCAACTCGTTTTTGTGTCTCTGTACTCCTCCTTGGTGATCTGCCCAATATCATCCTTGGGTCTTCTTTGCGTCGTTTTAGCTGCCCGTCTCAGCATGCCAGGGACCGTCTCCATTTGGGTTGCTCCTTCCTGATACTTCAGACCCTGTAGGCACGATAGTACTGTTAGAGTTGTTCTGAGAGCTCTCTGAACACCAGTCGCTGCAGAATCTGGGGGTGATTGAGATGCTCCTCCTGGTGCAGCAAATGACTCTTTGTAACTCGTGGTGGGCACGCTACGGCTGACAATCTGCAAATAAATCGAGTAAGTGCTAACCAAACGATACAAACCAATGATCGCAACGATTTAGCTCGCATTCAGTCTTTTGGCGGGAGCTTCAGCCAAAAGTCCGTTGACAAGTGAGTACATAATGCATGAACAAAATGCATCACATGCAATATACTTTATATACACAATGTGTTTTCTTGGCTCACGCTGCAAATGTGCACACATGAACAGGTTCAATCCATGACTCGGCCTTTACTTCCTCCAAAAAAATCGAAGCTGGAGCTCCACTGCCTCTTCAACTTGCCTCCTTACCAAGCGATTCTTGGAAAGTGTGAATCAAACCCACGAACTTCATCTGCCCAACAGTCTCTAGTACGTAGGTCATTGCTAGCCTCTACTAATGCTGCGAATTCCCACTGGCACTTCTACAGTTCATGCATGTGGATTCCTACAAGCGGCCATGGCTTACTTGAAACCACGTTGCTGCCTGCCTCACTGCCTTGCCTCAATGCAACAGCCCAACAAACGTCCTGGCCCGCGAGGAGTGTTTTGATCTGGGAGGTCGCGACGTCCATGCTGACTGCTGCGCTTCACATCCAGCCATGGCACCTGGCAAGGACCAATTTTGCACAAATAATATTAGGCCACGACAGCCTGCAGGGAATGTTTACAAAAAGGCTCACCCACATTGTTTTCTCACCGGGCATGCAAAGTTGCCGCGGGCAGCGAAATTACAGTACGCGGGTTTCTTGAAGCCTTTATAGCATGTCCGAACCTGCGTGTCATCGTTGAAATTGAAGGTGTTCCCTTTCAGGTTCAAGCCTTCAGTAGTGGATCAATGAGTGAAAAGTGATTCTCGATGTGCAAAGCAGGGGTTCCCGCTCCTCCAAGGCTGTGTGATTCAGGCAGAATCGAAGGTGGTGCCTTCTAACAAGGTGCGTACAAACTTCTACCTTTTACCAACCCTAGCTACAACCAACTCGTTTTAGACTTTGGTTCGGTGGAACCTCTTCTTGCATTGCCCCTGACTTAGTTGGTTCGTCCACTATACATACAGCCCTCAACCTTTGCAGCAAGGACACGTGGCACTTGAGCTTCTTGGCCTGACCCTGAATGGCGCTTCCCATGTCCTGCGGTGTCATGAATTAGGCAGATGAGGAAAAGCGGAAACTAAGGATGATGGTGGCATTACAAGTGACAAAGCAGAAGGAAAACAGTGATGAGGATGAGCAAGGGTGAGAACAGGAACAGAAAACGAAGAAGGGAATGCAATGTGAGGGTGATGATTATGATCAAGCTGATGTCACCTCAGCAAAAAATATCCAGACAGTGCAGCGTGTATCGTGTGGAACCCTGGCAAAATTTGGAAAGAATTGCATGCATCAGCAAGCGGCGAGAAGAGCCCACACGTGAGCACACATACAATACGGAGGGCGCACCTACGTATGACTATGACTGAGCACACATGTGTAAGGACACATCTGCTCACGCACATGAAACATGTTACATGTGAGCACCAAAAAAAAACAGTGGTACACATCTGAGCACGAACATGAGAGTGCACATAGGAGAACACATACGAGTCATGTGAGCACAAACATGAGGGCACAAATGAAATGGCAACACATCCATGAGAAGCCTCAGAGGAACAATCATAAACATGCACCAAAAAATAAACTCCTCTGACCACACTTGTGGTAGCGAACATGCAACCCAAAATGTGCAAACGCAAACGGGGGCACACAAAACAATCAAACCAAGCAGTAAAAAGGCTGAGAGTCTTGCGATCCTACTAAAAGTAAAAAATGTTTTGCAAATAGAAGTTTGCAAAGATTGCCAACAATCCGGACAATGACCATGCGACAAATGTTTCATTCGCACATCCGGTTCAGGCTCAGGACCCTTCCCAAGAACATTGAGAATTAGAAACCGAATCCAAGCTGAAACAGTTTGACCGCCTGAACATGTAATCAAAGCCAAAACCCGCATCTGAATGAAACACTTCCCATTCAGGTTGAGGTTGCCACACGACTTAGGAACTCGCTCAACACAGCATCCACGTACACCTTTTTCTGTAGGCTGTGCTGAGGCAGCTTGAGGTGGGAAATGTTTCTGGCTCAGCTGGCCTGGGTTCAGGCTCGGGTCAAGGTCAGGGACAATAAGAAATTGAACCAGCACTCCTTCCGGCTTGGGTTGCAGCAAGGGCCTGGGGTTCCTCTCAGCCAGCTTTTCGCTTGCTGTCTGCAGTGCACCAGGGTGCTCTGAGTGTGGTCCGTTGCTTCCCAGGGCCTTTTTGTTCTGTGGCTCAACTTGCCACAGGAGTTCAGGTTCGGGTTTGGGATCCGCGGTCGGAACCTGAACCTCAACTGAACGGGAACTGATCCAGCGCAGGCTGTCCGGGCAGTGGCTCAATGCTCCACAGGTGCGACAGGCCAAGCCGTCACAGATCAAATTGAACGTGAACGGCACCTTTTCTGGTTGGGGTTCAGTTTCAGGTTCTGGCGGGTCAAACTCATCAGCAATAGATTGCCACAAGCTACTCCTCAGCCCCCGAACATGCCCCGGGCGACAATCCAACAGCAACTCCTGAAATATCAATGTCTTCATCACCTTCGTCTGGGTCAGGGTCCATTTCATAATCTTGGATGTGGTTCTGGTATGTTGCCTCAAACGCGTGGCTTTGCGAAAAACTTGCCGCAAAGTACATGCACAGCTGGACCGACTGATTTAAACGAATTCACAATGCATCCAACCCCGCACTTGAAACCCAAAAGCCTCATCATCTGCGCTCAAAACTCCTGATATCCTCGATGGTCGCTCGGCATGATGACCCACAACGAACCATAGCCACAGGAGGACCTGCGGCTTGGCCAGCAAGCGCATGGCAAGGGAAGGTCTACATCAACGACTAAAGTTTGCAGCCAACAGAGGCGATTGCAACGGCTATGGGTTTTTGAGCCATAGCACTTCCGGGCACAATGCGACAGCTGTGAGTGGCTGAAACACAAAAACAAACTGTTGTAGCGTAATTGACACTGTGTTTTAGTTCCGACAAGCAAAGCTGCAAGTCTGGGTGGCATTGGGGTGCTGGCATTTCTTTCGGTGGCCTCCAACCTACTATAGACTATAGATGGTTTCCAACCTACTATTGTTGGCCTCCAACCTACTAGCGATGGCCTCCCACCTACTTTTGCTGCCTTGCTCCAAGCTAGCCAGTCCCCTCCTAGGGCTATTTGGGATAGAAATTGGCAATCTGCAAAACCTCAATTGGGAGTTCACTGTACTGTTTTCCAACAAACCCTGAAAGCATCCGTGGCAAACTCTTTCCTAATGGGCACTGATCTTCTCAGTCGCAAAGTTTTTTACAAATCTCTTCACGCACATCCACCTGACACACTCTCTATCGAACAGAGTAATATCGGAGCACAGATTGGCTCTATTAAAAACGCTGCCAAAACAGGATTCTATTTTTCCCGAAAGCATTGCGAAGGGTTCTTCCGGAAAATCCCTTGAACACTGACACTTCGACACTTACACTTACACACTGACACTTCCACCACACTTGCATTACAACATGAACGCTATACGTACCCTAGTGTAAGTGGAAGAGCGACAGCATCCAAGTGCAAAGTACGCAAGTGTCAAAGTATGCAAGTGGAAGTATGCAAGTGTAAGTATGCAAGTGATGAGGATGTAAGCATAAGCATGCAATGAGTATGCAAGCATGCAAAGAGCATGCAAGCATGCAATGAGTAGGCAAGTGTGAGTATGGAAAACTACCACGGGAGATGTCCTAATGAAAAAACATTTCCCCACTTTATAAATTCTCTCTTAAAGGCGGAGGGTGGGACGAACAGCGTCAACCGAAAATGCAACCCTCTGCGGAGATCGTGCGTGTTGAGTGCGCGAAGTGCAGGCGAGAGCGCGATTTGCCGGCTGCGCGCGCAACCCTCTGCGGAGATCGTGCGTGTTGAGTGCACGAAATGCAGGCGAGAGTGCGATATACCGGCTGCGCGCGCAGCCCTCTGCGGAGATCGTGCGTGTCGAGTGCCCGAAATGCAGGCGAGAGTGCGATTTGCCGGCTGCGCGCGCAACCCTCTGCGGAGATCGTGCGTGTCAAGTGCGCGAAATGCAGGCGAGAGTGTGAGTTGCCGACTGCCCGCGCAACCCTCTGCGGAGATCGTGCGTGTCGAGTGCGCGAAATGCAGGCGAGAGTGCGATTTGCCGGCTGCCTGCGCAACCCTCTGCGGAGATCGCGCGTGTCGAGTGCCCGAAAAGCAGGCGTGAGTGCGATTGAGTCTGCGCGCGCGCAACCCTCTGCGGAGATCGTGCGAGGCGAGTGCGCGAAACGCACTGTGCGCGCACAACCCTCTGCGGAGATCGGGCGGAGTAGCTGGGGAGCTGGAAGCTGAGAACTGGCGACTTTGTAGTACAACTGTAGTACGCGGAGTATCTGGCGAGCTGGAAGATGACAACTGGTGACTTTGTAGTACAACTTTAGTAACTTTAGTACGCGGACTAGCTGGGGAGCTGGAAGATGAGAAGTGGCGACTTGGTAGTACAACTTTAGTACGCGGAGCAATCTGTGGAGCTGGAAGCTGAGAACTGGC